GTGTACTGAGTAAAACTGAACGACCTTAATCCAAGGTCTTCCAGGCAATCCATTTCACACATGAAACCAATGTGCTGTTTTTAAACAGTAAGGTTTTTTTCCTGACTTCTAACAAGGAAGAGGTTTTTAATTAGCTTGTGTTTGTTTTCTCAGGTCTCCATTATTTATGTATCGATTTGGAAAATTCCTGTTTTTATTACAGAGGGTTTTCTTCTTCTTCCTTCCTTCCGGTTTAGATGTAACATAAATTTAGTTTGTCCATCGATCGATAGATGGCGTGTCACACTAATTCTGAATCGCGATATTGTTTGGTTCACATGGCGGCGTAAATAGACCAGACATTTTTTGTTAGTAAAACCCTTCAAGGTGCATGTATTTGTTCTATATTTGTGTAAATTTATAAAATATAGTGCGATACGGTGTTTTTTTTCAAATCACTAAAGTGACGCGACAGTGGCGTCATTAAGTGCGTCGCGCCACTTTCCGTTTGGTCCCGTACAAAATAAAGAAAAAAATTACTTAATGGTACAATATACAGGAAGGAATACACATCACACATCAACAGCCTTTAATAGTCCACTGCTGGACATAGGCCTCTCCTTAGTAAGGAGGCTTAAAAGTTAATTATATTGCCTTTATTCTAGTAGTTAGTATTTTTAAACTTTGGTTGTCCGTCCTAATGATAGGCCAAGAGTAATTAGTGATAATATGACCCAATTAGACCACAGACGAGTATTTAGATAGATAGATAGAAAACTCTTTATTTGTACGCCGTTTTACAAGAAGTATGGTAGATAAAAGTGTCAGATATGTAATTATGTAACAAAGGGCGGCCTTATTGCTAAGAGCAATATCTTCCAGGCAACTTTATTAGGATGGTACTACTAACGTTAATAGCTCCTTTTACGTAGGTAAATAGTAAATAATAATTAAGTAAAATAAGTATTATAGTTTAAAAGAAGTGTTTTGAAATCACACTCACTCACTCACAAATACTTGATCAGTTGATGTCCCTGCCCTAGTGGCCTCTGTAATCACAAGACAATATATTTTCGAATTTCTGCAGTCTGTTCCACGCTTTATCGTTATCATCTACAACCTGCTCTTTTAATATTTTTGAACCGAATTTCCTCATAAAAATAGATAGATATCGATACTTAGATAGGTTTTATTGCACACCTACAATCTAAATATTACAAACTATGTTGAGAAATAGTACAATAGGCGGTCTTATACAAATCTGCGACCTCTTACAGACAACCAGATTTCTCCAGTCCATATAAATATGGTTTTCACTTCAACAGCTCAGAAGATAAAACAATAAACGAGCGACCCTACAGTAATTATAATAACTCACACATCTCCCACACGACCACTGATCCCAAACTAGGCAGAGCCTGTGCTATGATAACCAGACTGCTGATAAATATACTTGTATGTTTCTAAATACGTACATACATAGTATAGATAAAAACACCCTGACACAGAACAAATGATCGTGCTCATCACACAATATTTATCCTGGGTGGGAATCGAACCCACGACCTCCGGCTTAGCAGTCAGGGTCACTAACCACTCGAAAACCAACAGGCCTGTTAGTAGACGTACAAACTAACAAATGACATCACACGTTGGTAATTTTTAGGCAACATAATATTATACCTCCTCGTACTCTAAAAAAATGGTCCAGGTATTATTGGAAACAATTTCCCGTAAGGCGGAATAATTAAGATCAAAACGTAATAAACTTTGAGCAAAGGAGTTACCCATACAAAAAAATATTTTCACAATTGTCCAAAAAAATGGAAATAAAAGTAAAACCCAGTGGTGACTGAACTTGTGTGGGTCGGAACGGCCAAATATTAGGTCCATATATTTATGTTAAGATTTCTACGTCACTGAATGAATCAGATAATTGTGCGTTTAGTCATCGGTTCATATCGTAGTGAGTAAGGAACTTAATTCGCAGTTTGTATGTATGTATGATATCAGGAATCATCTAATGAGTAATTAGGATTTACTGTTTGTTCCACTTAGTGATTACCTATTTGCAACGGATGATGTTTGGACTATAAGAAGTATCTGCTGTTTAATGTTTAAGCTATTTCATATTTATAATACTAACCTGTCATAAATCTTGAGCATTTAGGCATTCAAGTTATGAACTATACATTTATAAAGGTAGTTCGAAATTCGGAAGTAATTCATCAAAATGTTATAAAGATATTAAAGAAGAAGGAGAAACAAAAAACTAAATCTTTTGTCTTAACTCATAATAATTGATAATTTCCGTATAAATAGGTTGGACCAGTTCGAGTCACGTCATGTATGATGCCCTGACCTGCTCGACCTACTGGTTACACTCCTCGATACATTTATGTAAGTTATATCCATGCGGGAGAGCCATTCTTTGGCACAAATGTGTCAGCAGCAGTCAACTTCCCAGAAAACCGGTGTTAGGTATATCTTTAATATCCTCTTTCATTTCCGGAGTACCGGTACTGGGTACCGTGTGAGTAAGGCTCCCCCCTATTACGGGGTGAGAGTGGAAGGGAGGGGGGAAGGGAGAGACTCTACCTTTCCCTTGTAATATTGTATTTTTAATTAATTTTGCGACTGGTAAACAATAACCATATGAATGGTTTTGAATTATAACTGGTAAAATATGGGCGTTTAAGGGAAGTTCAAGTTTCTTGTCAGGTCTAGTTTAGACTGTTTTGAGTAAGAGCAGCAAAAGTTGAAATATAAGACGACAGAATGACTCCGATACAGAGTAATTTGAGCAAGCAAGATAATTTTCTTGCCTGACTACACTGCAGAAATCATATCATCTTCATTAGAAGGATCTGTAACCTTTGTTTTATTATGGTGAAGATCGTAAGATCTCTCATTTATCTTTGGGTTACGGTTTTAGTTTACGGTCATAGTAGGATCGGTTTATTTCGACTGACCTGTTGGACTAGTGGCTAGTGACTCTGACTAAGCCAGAGGTCGTGGGTTCGATTTCCATTCATTATTTGTTCAGTATCTGGGTGCTATTTATCTATAATATATACGTGTTTTGAAATATGTAAGTAAGCATGTTTATCAGCAGTCTGGTTACTATAGCACAGGCCTCTCTTATTTGGGATCAGATTGACGTGTGTGAAGTTATTTTTTCTTTGAGTTACGGTTTTTAGCTTCCGATTATAATTATATCTACGACACTGTGAGCATTGACAGTCAGTACAATTACATTTTGATACTGACCTTTAATAATTAAAACTCAATGATAAACATCATTATCTTCACGACTATCATAAAAATATCAATAAATTTTCAAGATCTATCCTCTTTCGTAAGCTTGCCAATTTCCTTTATGTTTAGGGCATAAAATCCCCACGAAAAGACAACAGCCATTTACATTTTAACATCACACAAAAAGCGTCTCGTGCCAATATTTGTCACGTTTCATTTCATTTATGACCTTACACCATTTCTTGACACGGACAGAAAATTGTGGCGACAGAATTCCCCACATCAACGACTCCTAACAGTCTACTGCTGAACATAGGCCTCTCCTAGCAATGGAGGTTTTTTTCCTTATAATGAATTCTCCACAGGAAAACAATTTTCTGTTAATAGAACTGGTCGGACAAATTTAATAATTTCAATGACTTAAAAAGCAGGTTCTTTATTCAAATGTATTTTTACTGCCAGCAAATGTATCAAATGGCAAGTAAGAATGATTTAAAAGTAATATTTTTGGATTCCATTTGTCATGCGAAATATTGTCTATGCCAATATAAAAAGGAAGACAGGCATAAAATGATTCACTTTTTTAATAAATTATATGCTTATTTCCAATGTTATGCAGTATAGGTATAATGTAAATGTTTTATAATAAAATACATATAAATTATAGTATACTACTTGAAATATATACCTATGATAGTTACTTTAACTTACCTCCGGTACTTCAGTCCACTGGTTAGACAGAAAGGGAAGAGATGGTATAAATTAGTCAAATTTTAAATTAAGAATGTTATTCATGTCAAATCATTAATTAATCCTGTTATAATTTGAAATAATTCTAGAATTTAACAAAATTCAGCTGCAAAATTAAAAAATAGTAGAAGCAGTATAACAGTCAGGAACATCGTAACAGATTTTATAATCGTATTCTAACTTTAATTGTTGTTATAAAAAATCTTAAAAAAACAAAGACCTTGTTCTAACAAACAATGCGTATATCATTATAAGAAGAACATAACAATTGTTTGTTTTGTTCTTTACGTTAGCTCAGTAAAATGCAAAAATATAATATTTCTAAATTCAAAAGAAACAAAAAAAAAAATTGAGGGTCAAAACATACCACAGCTTATAGAATGTGAAATGTTATTAACAATAAATCAACTATCTATTTCATTTTAATCGCACTTACAAACCTGTAGAATGCCCTGCTTCTTATTCTTTATAAAAAAGACATATTTCTTGTTGTTACGTTACTAATAGGTACGTTGTTAATCTGTGATATAAAAAACTATAAGCTTAAAATGCAATATACATTGGACTATTACAAAAATGTTAGCAAGTTCCTAGTCTTAGGAATAGATATTATTTACTCGTTAAAACTTATTTCAATTAATTTAAATTCCGTGTACTTGAAATTTAAATACACTACTAAGAGTAATACGGAAAATAAAAATGATAATATTAGAACTAGTAGTGGTCAGGGAATCCGCGTGAAAATTTTTAGAGCTATAATATAAGGGGAGACAACTTATTAGTAACATTGTATGTATTAGTGACATTTTAATCTAAGTCACGCACTATAATTAGGTATGAGTAACTCACGTACATTATTATTTTAGTGGAGTATTATAAGTAAACAAACACTAAAATTTACAACCTCGTAAATATATTCTACGATGAACCATTAATATCAAAGAACGAACACAAGTCAGAGAAAACGTGATATCTCCTCTCCTATACTTCTCTTTTAGTATCCTGACAGCAATTCAAGAAGAATAGTCAGTACTCACCACAGCGTTCACATTGACGGCAGCACAAACTTCTTCAACCACTTCTTCCACTGCTCCCGATTCGTACTCTTCAGCAGGAAGCGCCGGGTACAGTCTCATACCCGTACTGAATATCGTATCATCCTCAGTAGGCAGCGATGGATACAAGCTCCCACTGTTACCAATAAGGGGTTCTTTATCGCTTCCTTCACCTCGTTCATTTCTCAAGAACCCCTTAACAGACGTGGCGGGGTTAGAACCACGATGCCAACCCCAGCCATGCGCCTTCAAATTCTTCGGATACGTTGATGGATTCATCAACGACATTTTCACAAAAGCACTGTTTAACAGAGTTCACGCGCGAAACTGATTTCGGGTTAATCCCAAAATAGACTGTCGTGTTTGCCTCTTAGCGTATCAACAACGAATGAAGCTTGCTCCGACGTTGGTCTGTAGTTAGTCTGCAACAAAAGAAAGTTTTCATGTAATAGTGATTCATTTAATCTTGGAAGTAATCGTGAATCTCGCGAAGAAAATTGTTGGAGCACAATATAGAATATTGTTTACAGATTCATATTTATCGTATCTGTACTTAACTTAATCATTTTGATGAAATCAGTACGCTATCTATGAGATGCGTCGACATTGTTTACTGAATTTTAAATAAAATTATTTAAAGTAAAACACGATTTACATATATTTATGGAATAAAGGATTAATCTACTAAAACTATGTATGAAACCGAAGTTGAGTACAATGATTGTGGATGTTACTATGTGCCGACCATCTACAATTCCGTAAACACAAGTTTTTTTTTTAAGAATTTATACCCCACAAACGTTCAGAGCAACTACTGTATTATAATTTAAAATAAAAAACAATACAATGCAGTACCTACGCTATATTCGTTTTTAGATCAATTTTCTAAAAAGTGGGCCGATAACCGGTGGTACAGCTTACATTCAAATAAAAAATGTACTTAATATTCTAATAAATATGCATTTTAGAAACAACAAGTTCACATTTTATTTAGTTTGAATTATTGTATATTAGTCATAATTTTCTCTATAATCGCCCTCATTTTATGTTAAGTTTGAGTCAATAAGATTGATTTCAACTAGAACATCTCTTAGACCGACTTCAGTGTAATTCCTTTCGATTCCGACATTAGCAAACCAAATACCAAAGGAGATTGTTCTTTAACAAAAATGTTCAACCTACATTACTCACAAGTAATCACACACTCTTACAAACAAGCAGACACGCACCCTACACACACACGATCACACATAGACTTCGTGACAAATACTACAATCATAACAAACACATTATTAACATAATGCATATGCACATAGGCACCAATGAATACGGGTTCACTTTTGTTTACTTATTCTACCTATCATATTGTGTACTTCGTAATTGGAGTAATACTCTGTAAATTTTCTACATGTACTTACTGTCAGCTGTGAAGGACCTAAACAAATAAAATAAAATAAATAAATATCTAATCATAAATAATATAATTTAAATGGGACGGACCATAAGCACAATCAATTTAATTAAAGAGTCTTTATTGGATTCAGCTCACAAATATAAAAAATGTCGAGTAAAATATACGTAAAAATATCGGTTGAATTGAGAATCTCCTTATAAGTCGTATAAAAAAAACGATATTGTCTCTATGGTTTGCTCTATTTTGTTATTAAAAGGCTGTGTATATATTTTTTTAAAACAGATGTTTTGTTTATGTGTGAACTTCAAATGACCTTGAGGTTTTTACCAAATCTAAGGTCGAGGCCGTGTCCGTGAAATAAGTTAGCCGAGATCACGAAAGTAATTCACGAAATACATTTACTATATATTATGTACGCCTTTTTACGTTTCACTCATAAAAAAATATTTGGTTTGTTAACGTAGCAACATTGAAGTTGAGAATAATTCGTGGTCGTGTATGTTAATGTGTGTGCTCTCTCTGTCAAGACCAATAAAAACAATTAAATCCCATAACCAAGGATTTCATTTACGAGCGACCCCAAAAAATACAGTCCACTACCTCCAACAAGAAGAGCCCTATATCCAGTACTAGTCCAGGACTATTAGAGCAGTATACTTAGTTAGGCTCTGCCTACTTTGGCTTTAAACGGCCATGGTACAGTGAAAAAAAAATCGGAACTTAATCTCGATAATTTTTAGCTATAGCGTAATGAGATTAGTACTTTTAGAATCATACCAAGCAAGGACGCGGAACAATTTGTAAAGTACTCAAACTTGATCCACCAAAAAAATAAATTCACATTTGAAGTTGAGGTACCTAGTTCAGCAATTCCTCGATCTTACACATCCAGTATTTATAAAAGTAGCGAAAGTTAACAAACAATTGTTTATTTATAAACATGCAAGTTTTTATACAACCAAGCTAACAAACAAACTTTGTTTCTGTTGTCGTTGTTAAAGCGTTCGCTCTGGAACTACATCCATCAGGCGTAAAAATCGTTAAATGGTATTTCTGGGAAAACCCACCACTCATATTCGTTTTTCAGTTACCAGTACCGGTATTTAAGAGAAAAATTTAAAACGACACCACACTATAAACTATGTATTTTCAATCACGATTCTTCTAAAAATGTAGGCAACATTTGGAACATTCTTAGCTTGAACGTATTTGTATGTTTAAGGGCATTATTCTTTAGTTCGGGACTTAAATTGATCTTCTTTAATATGGGTTAAATAATAAGTAGAATTTTATTTGCAAGCAAAATCTGCGACTAATCCTAGTCATCGTAAAAACTAAGAGTATTTAAGTCTTTGAGAGGTGAATTTTCAAAACTTTATATTTGTACCATAAAAAAAACAGCCTACATTTCTATTTCAACATAGATCAGTTTTATAAAACATGAGTGACAAATGAATGATATTAATACACTCATAATTACTTATGCTCTATTAATTCACAGAAAAGTTACATTGTATAAAGCATAGAGACATGTTAATTTAATAATATTTAGTTGTAATGAAGAAAATGTGTGTGCAAACTCAATGACAACGGGCCAAAATTAGACCACTCCCTAAGTAAACTATGGCATCATTCGACCTCATTTTTGCGTACCTTCCTTTTAATTACGAAATTAAATTTATATTGCCATTGTTTATTGGATGGGTGTTTAGAGAAATATAAATGACTTAATTTAAAAAAGTGTCATCAAAAGTAGTTCATAGTGTAAGCTCATATGACAACTAGATGTTCCATAATATTGTAATAATTTTTTAAATTGTATTTGCATTTAATTCTGAAAAGGCTTTAGTAGGGACTTTCTAAGGTTTTGTAGAATAAGTCTTACGTAAATGCACTCGGACAGCATAAATTACAAAATAAAATTTATAGAGCCTAATGTTCTTTCAAAAGAAAATGCTTCATTCCAGTCATTTAAAAAAAAACAGTTTTTAGCATTATTACATTCATTACGATAATCATCATCAACGATCATTCGATACTTAATAATACTTAATACACCCCTGCTCACCCCGAGTAGGGGTATATTAAACATCCACATTCTGCAAACTATAATTTTAATCCCACTTTTATAATAGGATAACAGTATAATAGGATACACATAGGGATGAGATGGGCCAATTAGAAGTATATTGAAGAGAAACGTATATCAGATCAGTCTTGTATCTTAGCGGATGCCGGAATTACTCATCAATTACTGATCCTTACTGGAAACTACTGATCATTGGTAGTTATAAGATAATCTTGATAAACTTGAGGTGTTCGCGCCTAAATTTAATAACAAAATGTGGCTTTTTAGGAACAAAATCGTTAGGAATTTCTTTGATTTTGTTATCAAGAAGCTACGAAATGAGTAATAAATATGAATAAAAAATATTTATAAAACGTGAATCGTGTAAAACAAATATCATCATCAAGTCAGTTCAATCATAGTCAGGTTTATCACACTAACTGATCCGCGCAACTTCGTCAAATAAATTTGCCCCGTTTTTGCCACATTTTTCATTGATGTTCTTCTTTTATTAGTTGTAGGGTGATGCTTCGCGTGCGTTTTAGCCTTCCAAAATAATTTTTCCATTAAAACCAGCAGTTCCCGAGATTAGCGAGTTCAATCAATCAAACAAACAAACTCTTCAGTTTTATAATATCGGCATAGATATGTATTATGTCATAGTTCTAAGTCGTCACTTAAAGACCTGCGTGCATTCATAGTGCATAGCCTTGTATGAGTTTAAATCGTATTAGAAATTTAACAGCATTACTATAATCTGTTCAAACAGATGTTGCATTACGAAATGTGTGCGTCACGCGGCCGTGCGTGTGTCTTCAGATAACTGACTGACTGACTTTATGTTATTATATGACTACATGATATGTTTTTTTTTATTGTCTGTCCTTATGGTGACGGATTAGGAATACGGAGTGTCACCACCCTTTCATCCCGTGGGTGTCGTAAAATCCGACTAAGGATGCAGGATAACAGAACTGCAAAGAGAAGAAAAACTTGATACAAACCCTATACCAATATCCCAAACCTGGCCAGTGTGGCACAATAGCCCATAACCTCCTTTCTAAGGAGAGGCTCCTGTCCAACAGTGGGTTAGTAAAGGCTGTTGAGGAGCATCTAATAATGATAATTATAAAAAAATAATAAGAGGATAGTATCCCAGTTTGCCGCTTTGATTCCGGAAGAAATTTCCTCTATCCTACCATCTTATTACACTTAAGTTGTAGTTCTGAAATGAAACCAGAGTTCAGCCTGGCTGAGTAATCACGATGTAGATAAACCTGCATTTAGACTCGCATAAATCTAATGATGTTGAAACATACATAAAGTGACGTCACTAAATACAAACTTCGGATTCACAGAGGTAACTGGTGATTATTATCATTTATGACATACGATTTTGACTATTACTTCAATCGTCATTACTGTTGTAAGACACTGCAATGGCGTATAAGTGACCTTAATAATCTTGGCGAGAAACAACAAGAGGAATGCCTAACACCGGTTACATCGGTTTTCTGTGAGGCCATCGAATCACTCCAGCCTACATGTGGCTAAGCATCTCCCTCGGTGAAAAGTTGGAAGAGACTTGCATCCACAGTCGTTCTGCGGTCTTATTAAAGTCATGCATTTACATGACCGGTGCCTAGAAGATTTTAACCCTGTACCAAGTAAGAAGGGTCACGTTTTTTAACCGTGTCTTTCCATCAGTCCCACAACATAATATCTTTACTTACATAAAGTAGGTGCAATGATGAGCAGTAATGTTTACAAATATCCTCGAAACCGTCGTAAACCGATTGCTTCTCT